AGAATCATAATAATATAATCAATTTGTTTCACAGCTCATAAATAAAAAGAAAATATCTTAATCATGTAATTAGAACGAAAGAATACGGATTATAGTATATTTATATTTGTTCGTTTAAATTTAATAAAAAAATAAACACTGACAACTAAATGAATAAATTTTTTTGTTCATGCTTATTCGTTAATGAATGTAACTTGTTATTTTTTGCTCGTTAAAGTGATAAACGATCTTTGGAATACAGAGCAAAAGCAATTTAAAATATTTTTTCTTTATATCGTGAAATGAAAGGGTTAGTGAGTTACTGGGTGGGAAATACAAATATAAATAAATTTAAACGAACATAAATAAATAAATTATTAAACATTACGAACATAAATAACTAATAAGTTATTTATTCATCATTCATTTAACTAAACAAATTTATTCGTTTAATAAATACACATTCCCCATGGCATGTTGATCGTTAATAAATGTTTTGAGTACAATTAATTAATTATTATTTTTTTGAAAAATACAATTAATTAATTAATCAATTAACTAATAAAAGTTTCCATTGTCCCAACTCCCAAGGCTACTTCTCCATTATTGAATTTGTGAAAACGTGGAATACCATTATGGCATCAGCAATAGGACAAGGTCTAAACGTCATGCTGTGACGTCATAACCATAAAGACAAACTCAACTTGCATTTAACAAAGGGCTTAATTTGAATCTCATCCTTAACCTTTACCTTTTTTCCAGTTAGACCATTATTCCTTTATTATTCAATTGCACCCTTAAACACAACTTGCATTAAAAAAAATGTTAATTTAAGTTTCGCCCTCAACATTTGCCCTTTTTTTCTCTTTTAATTCGATTGCTTCACCTATATACAACTGGCATTTTAAAATGGTTTAATTTAGGTTTCACCCTTCACCTTTTCCTCTCTTTTCAGCTTGGTCCTTGCTTTTTTTTTTTCATTCATTTATAATATTAATCAGTCAACTTTTTCAAAAAGGTTAGGTTTGGATGAAACAATTAACATAGACGTTAATTAACTAACGATCAATATTATCCGTTAACATGACACTTCATTTATACCTAATTGCTAATATTATACTATTTTATCTTATATACGATGTCATAATTAATTCAAAATTCAAAAAAAAAAGTTTTAAAACGTATAAAAAATTATAAGTAACTACTTTATATTTTCAAATATTATTATTATTATTGTTGTTGTTATTATTATTATTATTATTATCTTGTAGTACTATTGTATGATAATATTACGAAATTAAATGAGATAACGTCAATATGGATCATGGGTTACTTGAATTATTTTCAATTATTTAGACAACGACTGGACTTAAGAGTACTTCTTCCGTTGCATATGGCAACGGGCAAGTAGACAACTCACATTTTCTTGTCCATTAAGTTGACTTAAGGATCTATTACAGAAACTGCTGGTTCCACTTTGATTAGTTCAAATGAATTAGTTGACTTAAAGATTCACACCCAAGGCAGGTACCAGTTGGGGATGATTATGAACTTCACTGTGCACTAAAGATTGAAGAGATTACTTGCCGATACCGGGACGGGAATTACTCTCCGTTCCGCACGTGATGCGGCTACTTCAGTTTGCTTCTACTGACCGGTAGGTACGGTAGTCGAACGAATCATGTGTCTTCAAGAGGTTAGTGTGGCATCAGCGCCGGTTTCGGTCTCATGCACGAGCTGTGCATGTGCAATTCACTAGGTTGAGAGTTTTCTTTATAAAATCTGAAACTTCATGCATAGTTTCCATGTATGGCATTGTACAAGAGCCTCTGCAAGAGACAGCAAACATGCGATCTTGCAAGTTTCATGACCCAATTTAAACTAAAACAACTTCTTATGAGTGACATCTTACTTGAATTAGTACATATAAACGTGTTGGGCCAATTTTGTATATAAGAAATGTGCTGAGCAATCAGAAAACAAACCTCAAATGACAGATTGAGAGCACTGGCCTGAGCATCAATCCCTTTCTCGCTTTGTTCCTTGCATTTATGTATACATGGATACATTATGTTTGATAATGGAGACATATTATGGATACATTATGTTTGATAAGCTAATCTTTTATAAATACATGGATTTATTAGACTGGTCGGGCCAAAACTGTATTCGAAAGTGCAACAGCAAAGATGGAGAGGTACTTGTTTTGGGATAATGAGTTTATACCGAAGCGGGACACCATGCTTGCATAATCCGCAATCATAGAAGAGTGTTCTACGAAAGGGACCATGGTTGTTTAATGGACAAGGAAGGTAATTAAACTTCCCTGAAATTGTCTGGTCTGATACTGAACATTATAACCTTGCCATAACTTTCCTTTTTCTAATTCTTTGTGGCTCAGTTCCCATTCTTTTCCGGTGACAGGGAATACAGAATAGGCCGACTGAAATGGGAAGTGGATTCTTGTGAGAATCCTGGAATTCTCACATGAGAGCCGCTGAACCAGCGGCGCATAACTATTTATCTGCTATGATCAGTTACTTCGATCGAGTTTGATTAGGCATCCGACAAAAAACTATCATGTATGTTTTAAACAAGATTTCCCCAGAAGTGTGTGCTTTATAGTTGATTCATAAGCAAGTAGAAATACAATGTCCATGTTTGATTTGCAGGCTAGCTTGATTGTGTGCTGCAGTAGCACATCATTACAACATGCTTTTGCTTTTTCTAGGTAAAATTTAAGCAAAGCAATGGCTGAATGAACCAACACAATATTTTCAATCTGTGTTGGAAATATCATCTCAAACCTGTATTCCATAAACATGCCATAAAGTAAACATGAAAAAGGAGCAAACATCATCTTGACAACATCCATCAATCTCTTCATGAAGGAGCTAACATGAAGTAGATTTTCCAACGTCACCAGGGTCTCAAAGCAGTGCAGCCCTTAAAATTGTGGTGCCCCCTTTGGCAGCGTCGTGGTCTGAACCTTTTGGTTAGCTTTGGCCAGTGTACTCTTCTCCATGGATGAGCGAACCCCGCCACCAAATTCCTGGAAAAAGCAGATGCATGCCATTGAGCGGGAGACCAGAAAACAGCAGTTTTAAAAAATTGATTTGTGTTGAATTGAATCAAATTAACTTTTTATCTTAAAAAATCAAATTAAATTTCAAATAAGTGAAGATGAAAGTCTAAAATGTTTAGATCGGATCGATCAAAGATCTAACATGACCCGACCCAACTCAATGTATACTAGTCCTTAATTTTAACAGGATTTAGAATATTACATTAAAAGTAATCAAATTTCAAGTTCTGTTTGTATTGGTACTAAATTTAAACTGCATGTGTGAATTCAAGAATGCTCTGTTTAGGAGTTTAAATATATTTGTTATGTGAATAGAATCTTTAACAGCCCATTAGCAACAAAGTCGGTATCCGAGGGCGCTTAAGGCGGCTCCAACTGGGCCGAGATGAGAACTGAAGGGGTACATTAGAAAAGTAAAAGATAGATGGTCCATTGAACTTCACCAAAGGAGACAACTTTATAATTATAATTTAGCTTAATGGAGAATAAAGATAGTTACTAAAATGAAAAGATATGATATTTAAATTTAAAAAGATTATTATATAATCCTATCACCGAGACGTGACGGGTAGCTCTTATCTCTACTGTCTCTGAAGTATAAAAAAGGAGGATTCAATGAGCATTCCCAAACTTATACGGTTGGGTTTCTAGGGTAAATGGTGCCCCTAGTTAGTATGTCAGGTAGGTTAGTTGGACATGGTCCAAGGACAAATGTCAACCATTTCAGATTAGAAAACTGGGACAGTCTGACCAGATATTTCTAATGCCCTTTCCCTTTGTCTCAAACTTATGATGACATCGCCCAGTGGAAGGCCAGTAGTATTTTACCTACGGACACCTAAAGCAATAAGATTTGTTTGATTGTTCAGTTAAGTTGTAGTAGTTATTAGGAGTTAAAAATGGAAAAGGAATCTTTAAATGGATAAATATTCAAGGGTTTGATCTAATGGAATATAATATAATGGCAAATATAGTCTTAATCATGTACCTAATTATGCTTCATTTTAACACCATCAATACATCAACGCAACGTACAACAGAGGCTGCATTCTCGATCTATTAACAGATATTTTTTACACTACTTTGTACGTGTATAGATATAAAAAACGACCCTTTGTTTTAAAAATATGGTAAAATTGATATTTTTAGATACACCATTAGGCTCCAACATGTAAACAGAGAGCCAAAAGGAAATGAATGATCTGAGTAATGCCAAAGCGCCATCCACTAACCGACCCTATTCGCATGCTTGGTTGACAACTTCACAAAACCCATTTCTTTTAGATAAAATAAGGAAGATACCGCCACACCAAATCTGTATATTTAAGGTGCTTTCCTCGATGTATATGTAGCTTTCTGCTACTCCACTCAATGCGGCAAAACAAACCCATTATTTGTTTTGTTTCTGCCTACTTAAATTTATAATATATAAAGGGTGTCTCGAAGTCCCATACTGTCTTATCGGCTCTAAATTTTGAAACAAATATGGGTAATTGTTGGAATCTTCTTAGACCGAGCGAAGGTTGCTGTCTGCGAGGCGTGGAGCGCGAGTCCAAGCAGAAAGTTGTTCGGGCTGTGAGGGCGGATGGGAAGACTTTAGAGTTCAAAGCTGATGATTTGCTATCGTTCGTGGCTGATACACGGCGGGCCGGTGGTGTTAAGAGAATAAAAGTTGTAATCACAAAGCAAGAGCTTCAGAAGTTGTTGAGTAAGCAGATATCAGTAGCAGAGGTCATCACTGCAGGGCTCGATAAAAGAAACGGGAGTTCGTCTCCAAGATGTTGGAAGCCAAAGCTCGAATCCATATTGGAACTAAATGAGTAACTGTATGTATATGTATATGTAAATGCCAAGTTATGAAAGTAAAAGCCTTGTTATGCAACTAAGAAATTACAGTGTCTTTCATGTTCTGAACAAAATACAACTTCTAGCGTTTTTACTGAATTTCTACATCAATAACTTTGCGTTCAACTTTGGTCTTGGGAATGGAGATGAAGAGCACTCCATTTTTCAGCTCCGCCTTGATTTTATCCTTATCGCAGTTGTCGGGTAATTGGAGACGAGTATCATATGAACTGTAGTTGCTGTTAGTCCAATCATCGTGGCTCTCTTCCTTCTTCTGCTCTCCCTTTATAACCAGAACATCTTCCTCAACGTAGACCTTAACGTCGTCTTTCGCCATCCCCGGCATGTCGAATCGCATCTTGATCTCATGTTCATCGTCTCTGATGTCCCAAGGTGCACGCACCTCTCCTCCTCTTCGTCCGGAGGTCGGAAACGCCATGCTATCCTCGAACAACCGGTCCATCGTGTCCAGCATTTGACGCATTGACCTCATCGGTGACAACGGGTCCAACAAACCTATCATCACCGGATCATGTCATAATACTATACTATTGAATAAAAGAACCGCACTAGGTCAAGAGAAAGCTGAAAATTACTCACCGAATGGAGAGATGTCCATAACCAACCGTTTAGGCCTCTTCTCGACGGCTGTCCCTTGGCCTTTGTTATCCTTGTTAACGTGCACGTCCACCGACGAATCTTTGTTCTGATCGCCGGCAGCATGTGCCCTTACGACAGCCTTCCGATTGCCGTGAAAATTATTGGACGGAAATGATACGTAGAACGGCATCATGGGTTTAGCGTAAGAAGGAAGAGTGGCTCTGTTTGATACCAGTGGTGAAGATGAGCAAGACAAAGTCGAAGCCATTGCCATGACAGATTTAGAGATCTGAGAAATGTGTATCTTAAATGACAGTGAGAAGAGAGTTGCTGTTCATCCGATGACTGTGACTGAACTGAGGAGAGGGGAAGGAGAAAGATGAATATATATAGATGGAGAGAGTGGCTTTGCTTCAAGAGAAGAACGAAGGTGAAACATGGAGAGGGATCCCGAAGGGTGTGGAAGTTCTAGACCCATCACCTGGACTTGTCGTCACTGACAATACATTTGGGCTTCCTTGTGTTTCCTGAAAGATCCAGGACTTGCATCTTAACACTGGAACTCCATTTATTTTCCATTTAACTTTGGATATTATAAAGGGTATATTACATCACTCATCCCTGAACTTTCTATATCTATTTCACTCGCTTTACTTTAAATCAGTTTATTTCCTCACTAAATTTAGCATAATTAGCATTTTTGGTCATCTGTTAAATATTTAACAGCATTAAAATGACGTCGTCTTAAAAAATAAAATTTTCATTAAAACGACGTCGTTTTGCATCTATACACAGCTCATTTATAGTGATGTTTAGTGAGAAAACGACCGAGTGACCAAAAATGATAATTATGTTAAATTCAATGAGAAAATTGAACGTATCCAAAGAATAATGAGTGAAATAAGATAGAGTAAAATTCAATAATAATTAGTGTAATTTACCTATATTATAAAAGTATTTATTTAAATAATTTTATTGCTTGGATGACCATCCTAAAAATATTTAGCAGATAGCATAATAGGCAAAACTTTCGAGATAATGTTCTGAAAGAAATTAATTCACGAGTTAATGCACTCCCAATATTAATTGCTCAAATAGGGTGAAATCCACAGTGTTTGCCGTAGGTCGCCATGCACTCCGGGTGACCTACCCTTGCTCAAACAGAGAGAATGAACGTGTTGCATGACACATGCACCTTGTAGGTCGCCATGCACTCCGGGAAACCTACCCTCGCTCGGCTTCCCTCGGATTCCCTCGCATAGCTCGCTCGGTTGCCCTCGGATGCTCTCGCATAGCTCGTTCGGATGGCCTCGGTCGGATAGCCTCGGATGCTCAGCGTGTTGGGACGTGCATGGCACATGCAATCTCTTGTAGCTCGCCAGGAAGACATGGCGACCTAGTAGGTCGCCCGGAAGGCATGGCGACCTACGACCAACACTGTGGATTTCACCTTATTTGAGCAATTAATCTTAGGAGTGATTTATCTCGTAAATTAATTTTTTCCAAAACATTATCTCGAAAGTTTTACCTAGCATAATAAGATGATTAAAATATAAGAAAGATAATAATACGATGACCCATATGATTTACCTAATAATTATATCAATTTGTAGTTATATTATATTATACTCATTTAATTGATAAAATATTATCAACTGATTAGATTTAACTCAATTAGTCGGGTAAAGACGGTAGAATTTTACATGGGTTTGATTATAAACGCCAAATTATAACGCTTTATTGAATAGATTTTTTTAATGATTGAGGTATTTGACGTTACAAACGTTATCATTTAAGGTATTTTGTCTGTAAAAATCATTAATTTTTCTTATACGTGTCACTTTAAGGTAATTTTAAAAAAATTATTTAAAATTTAAAAAAATATTAAAACTATATTTAAAAACATAAAAATTTCAAAATAACCTTAAAATTTTGAAAACATTCATTTCAACCATAAATTCATGTCGATCGCTATCTTTTACCTTCAACGAAACTCTACCCTATCTCAACTCCCCCCGACGATCAATAACACTATAAAATCACGACTAACCAACAATCAAACGTTTTGTACCCGTGAACCCTAAATTAAAAATCGTAATCCCAACGATTAATCCACGTCAAATATGACCACGTATGACTAAAAAAATGACATAAATTATATTGGCGACGGTGGTCGTGACCTACAAAAATGAGGACAACAGCTTAATGTCACGACTTTAGAATTTTTAGGTATTGATTTTTTTATATAATTTAAAAGAAATTAAGATATTTTTATACTAATATTTTTATTTTTTTATAAAATAAAAATTATTGAAATGTAATACGTCTCACTTAACATAAAAAATTAATGAAAACTATGATACATACACTTAAAATTATAATAATTTTTAACGCTAAACACTTTAATCATTCAAAAAAATTAAACACCAAAATCATTAAACAAATTATACATCGGTACATGAATCCATTTTATAAATAAAAAAACTCGAATTTTAGGCTTGCTTGATATCAAATTACTTACCGTATCTCACTATAATAAGTTATTAAAAGCTTCAATTCTTGAACTGAAAAACCAAGTGAGGATATGTCATAAACCAACACAAGTGATTAAGACCATACAAAAAGTAAAAAAATTGTAGTAAAATTTAGGTTCATTTCAAACAAGGGGTGGTGGTTATTTCCTTTAAGCCAGCATCAAACTGATCTCGGGTTTGACACTCGAACTAACCAGTGTTGGGCTGCTACTACCGATGCTATCAGACATTGAAGCAGGAGTTCTTTGTAAAACACCAGACGGTGAAGACACTGCTGTCACCGGTGGGCTACAAGAATTTCCATTCCCAGTGACGGGAGAAGATAGGTTAGAGCTGCTTTTGGTGGCGGAGCTCGGCCTTAAAACCTCGGCCAGTGGGCCTCCGGGCGTGGTGGAGCCAGGTGTAAACCAGCTTGAAAGCCGTGATATGGAAGCGTATTCATGGTCCTCGTCATACTGGCACACTCCCAACTCGTTATCCGTGATGTTATTGATTCCCATTGACAGGGAAAGTGAGGAAAGAGAGAGTTTTCCGTTACTGGAAACAGAGGCTTCGGCTCCAGAGCTGTCACCTGATACACCAGTAGACCAAGCATCGATGAAGCCTCTAGGTGTACTTTCACCGGACTTCTCTATTTCAGAATTGAGAAACCAAGGGAAACTGTTCGGTTGTTGATCTCCTGCAGCATAATTTTGGCCCAGAACGAAGGAGTTGTTGGCATCGGTCATGGAACCATCGGAAGCTAACCCTATTTGCATGAGCTGATGCCACTGCTGGTCAGCCAGGGGAATGAGTTCATTCATAGTCCAGTCTGAAATCCTACAAAAACATAGCTCAAATTGATTAAAAAGAAGTACAGCTTGATACTTAAAAAACACAAATGTATTTGTTTTACTCACCTGGGTTCCTTGTAGGAAGAAACAGAGGTGAGAGGCCAAAAGGTTGCAGCTTTTTCATGTGGCTTATCAAGAAACCAAGTGGTCTGATTCTGGCGAGGGGGCTGAGCTAGAGGCGGAGAAGCAATCTTGGTGAGAACGGCGGAGGAAGATGAAGGAAGAGCTTGACCATGGGTGTGACGTGTCCTCTTATTAGGAAGTTCCACATGCTTTCTTGAACGGGGACGACCTCTATGCAGGTGGCGCTCACAGTACTTGTGGTTAGGCGCCACATCTCTCGAGCACCGCCATTTTTTCCCGTCTGTTCTCTTGCACCTCCCTGGCTCAACATCCCCACTACCTGCCAGCCTTAGATTCAGAGCACCACCACCCACTGCCCACACACCAAAGAAAAAACAAAACCAAGTGGATATAATTAAAGATGACGTAAAAATTGATGAACAAAAAGACAAGGTAAATAGAATGGAGATTACAGGCAGAGTGGGAAGCAACTGGAACCGAGGGAAGAAGGAGATCTACAGGCACAGGAACGGAAGCCATCATGTATTTGAATATCATGACTTGTCTCTCAAGCTCCTTCCTTTGTGAGAATGTAAAAGGAAACTCTAAACATGCCGCCATCTCTCCTGTCACAACACAAATCAAGCATCCCCCATTGTTTGCCTCAGTCAAACAGACAACTTTTAGAAAAAAGAGGGAAAAAAAGCTATGAAATTTCTACCTGGGGATTTGATGGCGGTGTGAGCAGTAGACGATGAAGTGGATGAAATGTCAAAAGGCTGTAGAATCCTCAAACCAACTGCACCGCCATTACCAACAGTAGCCGCAGCAGCACCAGAACCATAATCACTACTGCTAGCTAAAACATGGTACATATTACTCGTCTTAGCCCTGTTGTCATTTCCCATGGGACCATCACTATCTCCAAATGATGGAAACGGACGGTGATGATTATCGTAGTGACCCATCATCATCTTCAAAGATACCAAAACCAACAGCTTTAATGCCTACTCAAACCCTCTTTGGCTGCAACGCTCATAAAGAACTCACTTTACCCTTTTAGGAAACCGCTTTTTTCATCAAAGAAACCACGAATCTCCCCTAAAACTCGCAAAACTCTGTCAAAGAACATAAGGACCTTAAAGCCGAAGATTATTTTTTTTCTCCCGTTTCTCTCTAGAAAGGAGACACCAGCAGCTTATAAATCCTTTGGCAAATCAATACGAGTCTTAAATGACTAGGTGATGTGTATAGGCGTGGACTGTAGTGCTCGGTTATGGGTTTGCCGCCATTCTCGGCCTTTGCTATGCTCCCATGCTTCCAACATTCGCACCACAGTAGTCGACAAAATAGTAAAAAGCATTCCTTTTTCTCTATTCTGATTCAGCAGCATGTCATTATTGTGCCCAGCCTATCGTTTTCTGCATGCAAAGATTAGAAGAAGAAAAAACACCGTATTTTGCCACTTGGAAAACAACAAGGGACAGGATTTGGGCACCCACCCAATATTCGCTAACAGCCACCCCCATGTGATAATTACCTTTGAAGCTTAACAAACCAAGTCAACATTTTTTTTTTTGGGTTCAATTTCATTAATGGAGTCAGAGAAAAAGAGGGCTGTGATTTGATTGAACTTTGATTTGCTCTCTATAATGCTAAACTTAAGTTTTCGATATCACCATTTGCCCATAAAGCCTTTTAACCTTTATGTCGAATTGAAATTTTATTTAGGGTAAAGTAGAGTAATGGTCACTGAATATTTCTGACGCTTTCATTTAGGTCCCCCAACTTTTTAAACTTGCAATACAATCCCCTAATATTTATTCCGTTTACTATATGGTCTCCCAACTTAAACCAATTTTAGAAAATTAGGGTAAATTATATAATCGGTCATTAAACTTTTCAGACACTTGAATTTAGGTCTCTCAACTTTTAAAACTTGTAAAATAGTCCTTAATTTCATTATAAACCCCAATTTCCAAAGTAATTCAATTTCATTCTAAACCATTGATTCTACTAAATCATAAATGATCACTGTATGAGCAAATTCAGGTGAATCATAAATGATCGCACTGTAAAGCACTGAAGGGTTAGGTACTCAAATCTGATAAAAAAAATAGCATGCAAGAACATAGTGGTACTTAAATCATAATGCTCCAAATGAGTGTTCCGAATTTCATATAGTCAAAAGTTGAAGAAATGAGCAGAGTTTATGGGAAGTTGAAATACCGAATAGAGTGCTTCCATTTTGCTATTCGGGATGTTTAATCAATGCATATTGTTATTCAAAATTGATATAAATAGTTAAACAAACCTCAAATTTACATTGAAATAAATATTGTCAAATAGTAAATTCATGTTCAAAATTTCAAAACACCTTAATTTCATTCTAAACCCTAAATTCCAAAATAATTCAATTACATTCTAAACCTTAAATTGAAGTATTTTAGAATTTGGGATTTAAAATTTAATTGAATTATTTTTGAATTTAGGATTTAGAATGAAATTGAATTACTTCGGAAATTGGGGTTTAGAATGAAATTGAGGACTATTTTACAAGTTTTAAAAGTTGGGAGACCTAAATTCAAGTGCATGAAAAGTTCAATGACCGTTACCCTAAATTTCTAACCGTGGTTTAAGTTGAGGGACCTAATTGTAAACGGAATAAATGTTAGGGGACTGTATTATAAGTTTTAAAAGTTGAGAGACCTAAATGCAAGCTTCAGAAATGTTCAGTGACCATTACTATACTTTACCCTTTTATTTATTTCACTCTTTGTTACATTTTGTTCGTATTTTATAGGGTAAAATGTGTAAATCATCTTTTTATTATATGATATTTTTATAATATTTTGAAATAAATATAATATATTATCTGTTTATAATATTTCATTTAATTATTGACATTTCTAAAAAATATAATATTTCATTTAATTATTAAGATAATTTGATAGATTCAAATTTTAATTAATTTTGTGTTTTTGATTCGGACATTTTATAATCAAAATGTACCGATCAAATTTGACTGCAAATTTTTCGGGTCAAAATTGACATTTTATACTACATTTCGAGTATAATAATGTATCATTAAAATGACGTATTGAAATATACTATATATAAATTTGTCCTTGTTATATAAATATAAAAAATATATATAATGATCTAAATAAAATTAACCGTTAATTAAAAATTAATTTTACTTTTAATATAATTATAATTTAATAATGATTTTTTACTAAAATGTAATAATTATTTTTTTAGAATTAGGTTTTTTAAATTATTTAAGGGTTGAAGGTGGCCATCAACACCATCACCGTCAGAGTGAGTCTCGCCAGAAAATAGTTGACAACAAATCTAGCAGTGTCGTCGCCAGTTCATCGTCACCCAGATCGACGTTGTCCCGTCTCCATCGCGAATGAGCAGCAGCCTTCAACCCACGACTGTTTTCAGTTTTTTTCATTTGCGTTGGCCTTTCGAAAAATCAACCCGTGATCGTCGGTCGTTAGTCTCCAACCTCCAGCAAAAACCGCGACCATCAATCATAGTTAGTTTCCAACCGCCGGAACGCAAAAATTCCTCTACAGAAAAGTCTCAATCGTCTTTTTCCTTTTTGCACGACTGTAACATGTTAGTTTTAGATTTTAATTTTGAATGGTTAAATTACTCAAATACTGAAACTTATACCGAATAAGCATATTAGCTAAGACCAAAATGCAATAAAGTAAAAAATAGTATCTAATTCAAAATAATAAAAAGTATATAAAAAACAATGATGAAAATATAAATAATCAGTCTTCTTTGATATAAGTTTCAATATTTAGGTCATTTATTTTGTCATCTTCATTAAGATTGCAATTTACGTCTTAATTTTCCACTCATCATCCATAATCGCTAATATGCATTAATTTAAGATTAATGAAAAAATTAATATTAAATCGACATGAATGGTCAATATTTATAGCAAGTCAAATACGTATAAAAATTAATATTATATGATCACAATTAATATCCAATTAATATTAAAACAAAAACTAATACTAATAAGAATTAGTTATTTTTTTTTATAATAATTGATGGTCATTTATTAAAACAAACTATTACAAAAGTTTTAAGATTCAACTTTATTAACATCGAGTTAAAAGTAAATAAATAAATTAAAATACTAACAATATTATTTATAATTGAAGAAAAAGTTTAAAATTAATTAGCAAAATAAAAAAAATTAAAACTTATAGAAGATTTAAAACCTAGAAGTCTAAAATCTAAACAAGGGAAAGTGTGGTGGTTTTCATGAAATTTGACCATTTAATTAAAGCAAAAGTATGGGAGTGGGTAGTGTAATTTAGCCATGTATTTTAAAACATAAACATACGATTGTCTAAAATATAAATGGAAGAAACTATGTGGCGTTTTTATGAAATTTGATCATTTAAATTAAAATACAAGTATGGGGGTGGGTAGTGTAATTTAGCCATGCCTATCAAAACACGCACATGCTTTTGTCCAAAATTTAAATGTGAGAATTTATGGGGGTTCCTATGGAATTTAGTCTTTCGAAAAACACACAAGTAACGGGAGTTATAAGGTCATTTAACCATTGGAAAATTAAAATCTAAAACTGACATGCCACAGTCGGGCAAAGAGGAAGAAGACGATCGGGACTTTTTTGCAGAGGAATTTTTGCATGCCGGCGGTTGAAAACTAACGATGACTGACGGTCGTGGTGGTCGCCGGAGGTTGGAGATGGACGGCCAACTGTCACGGGTTGATTTTTCGATTGCCAACGCAAGTGATATTTTAAAACTTTTTCCTAATTAATTTTTATTTAATTAAAGCGTTTTTTTATTAAAGTTTTTTTTCTTTTTTCTGTCTTCTCGAATTTAAGATTTTTTCCTAATTAATTTAGATCAATTTTTAATCAATAAATCCCTAAACTGATATTTTCTATATATATATAATAACTAAAATTCAAAATCTTACTTAAATAATATTAAAATAGTACAGTTTTTCATATTTAATTCGAAAGTTTAAAGAAGACGTGATGCACCAACAACTATGCCTATACCACACGCCCATGCGGCGAGTGATCGAAGGGTGCGATGTGTTGAACCGCACTGAATTGGCGCGTTTAAGTCAAGACAGTATGTAGTGAGTGTGGATGTGACGAGACGAGAGGAGATACGAGGTGATGTACGCGGGACCTACTTTGGATGAAAAGGAGGTCATTTCTTGTAGACCAAAATATCTTTTATTTGAATAAATTCAAATTTATAAAATTAAAAATTAAAATAATATCATTTTAAATTTTTAGGTTGGAGACAGAGACAGCTGGAAGAGGCTGTCCTCCCTCACATGCAAGTTGCAATAGAACAAGAAAAAAAATCATAAAGAGATTTTTCTTTTATTAAAATAATATATTATTTATTTTTTTAACAAAGCTTTTGACAATAATATGAGAGGGTAAAATATATCTCATGCGGTTTAATTATGTTTTTATTATAAATAAATTATTTTTAAAATATTACTAACCGATTACTTAATTAAAATGTTATTATAAATAAGTAACAAATTTTAAATGTTAAACAAAATACTAACATAATTCGATATAATAATGTTTTTCACCTTAAAATGTATACAATGCATTAATTTAAATATAATTAAAAACAATTAAATTAATTTTTATATTTAAAATTTTCATCTTTTCAATTTTTATTGTTCTTCTAAATTGCTTATTCTTATGGCTTAATTAAAAAAATAACTAAATAAAATAGATGCACAAGCTTTTTTCTTTCATCGAGGTATTTAACGTTACAAACGTTATCATTTTAAGTGTCCACATCGTAACAACCATTAAAATTTCGTTAAGTGATACTTGTTAAGTTCTAGTAATTTTGAAATTTTAATTTTTTATTTAAATAAAAATTATTATATTTATGAAAAATCTATTTTCTCTAAAATTGTAAAAAAAAATCCCATAAATCACTAAAAATCTCAAATCCCTAACTCTAACCATAACCCTAATCTTCGTTGTACCACATAAGCCATTGTCGATGTCGCCCTTGTCATCTCCTTTGTCGGCTTCCTTGTCATCAGGCACGTCGTTATATCGCTAGATGTCGCAAATTTGGGTGTCACAATTTTTTCGTTTTCTTCGTCGGAGATGCAACGTTATCGTCAAGTTTGACTTGTCATGGGGTGGAAGTTCTAGTGGAGGTTCGATTGACTCAACCAGTGACTATTGACGTGGGTTTGTGGATTGAAATTAAAATTTTCAATATTTTGAGGTTTTTTTTAATTTTTTGAGATTTATTGGGTTTTTTAATATACACTTTTATTTTTTATTTTAAATAAATTTTTTAAAATCACCATAATAGGTTATGTGTCACTTAGCGATGAAATTTAGCGGTCGTTACTGCCAATACACCTAAAATGATAAAGTTTGTAAAATTATGCATATGGATGAATCAAAAATAAGTTTGGGCACCTAATAGGTAAAAGTAGTCTAATTTGGACACTTGTTTTATAATTAAGCCTATTATGAATAATGTCTTTTCCACTTCCAATTTAGTATATTGAAGCTCGGATTTAGGGTAGTTTGTTTTATTGTTTGATTCAAAGGGGTCATCCCAATGGAATGAAACTTGGTTTGGTGGTCACAACCCCTTTCATCGATGGGAAGGTTTCATCTGTCCGTGAGATTAACACGATTTAGTTTCAAGTGATTCTACACTTAATAGTGGCAAATTGAAAAGATTTATGTTGTTTTTTTTATGTTTTTTTTTATTTTATTTTATATGGTTCAAACTCGTAAGAAAATCTTTCAAAATTCTCAAATCTCAATGAAAAATAAAAGTTAATACTTTTTGATCCACCACTGTCAATCACCAGATCAACTTGAAATCAAATTATATTAATATTTTGGTCAAACAAAGCCTATTTACCATTGGGATTAACGGACGATTGCTCGTTAAATAAAAAACGACCTTTATGTATGTCGATTGAAAATAATAGAGTAATTTTTTTTTGGGAAATATGACTTAACATGTCAGTTAGCATTTCTTAACGACAATTATAGTACTGGTAACAAATTAAAATTTTAGTGATTATAATATAAATATTAAAATTTTGACGACCAAATTATAAATACCCTAAAAAATTAGTGATCACCAAATAGATTATCCTAATTATTTTAAAGATGGTACAGTTATGATATTTTCTTACAATCGATAGAAATTTATTTGGACTTTAAAGTTTTAAATTATAAAATGATAAAATTATATTTTATCCTTTTTCGTAAATAATACAATCTTAACACAATATTTTAAAAAATATAAAGGTACATTTTATCCTTTTTAATATCTTGTAATGTCGAGAAAAATGGGTTTCTCCCTTGCATTTGTTGCGTGTAATTAGGGGTGGATATCCTAAATCCGTTATGGGTCAAGTGCATCTTATTTTATAGAAAAAATAATTAAATTTAATTTAATATGTTAAGTAAAAAGAAAAATAAAAGAAGTTTGTATATCCATTAATTTTTAAAAAATAAAATTAAAATTTTAAACAAATATTCTTAAATTTCTGAATCTATCGTCGTATGTCATAATGCTTGATGGGAGACATGTTTCTTTAGCACCGAGCAACCCAAGTATGGACCTCCTCAATTGACCCTTTGGGGTTCTGTTTGTTTTTATTAAACAAATTCCAAGCTACCACCGCCAAGGAAGCAAAAAGCCTTAGCTACTTTACTCCTTCGAACTCAGAGATGTCAGTTATTTTATTTGTAGTCAAAGATGGCAAAACTGCATCGTATTTCCGGTAGGAGTATATAATTAATGTACATAATTGCATTTTGGGATGGGGGAACCATGTGGTTGGGACATGGGCCTTAACTCTTTCCCCTTTCTTAAGGGACCACAATCATCCTGCACAATCCCATATTAGCTTTATTTGTGGGGTTCTCTTGTATTATACCCCCATTATAGTACATGTATGAATTGAAATGTTAAATTATAATCGTGTATTTTAAAAATTTTAAATTCTCCTAAAATTTATATTTTTAAAATATGAAATCATACGTTCATAGGACTTGACACGATATACACAAACAAACTTTTGGGCCCATTTCTTCTGACTTTGTAATATTAAAAATGAACTCATCGAATGATTTCGGTGATAAATAAAAGATATTATTTTTCTCTAGATCTATGATTTTTTTTTGAAAACTAAGATTCAACATGTGTTTTAGGTTTATGTGTTTTGTTTAGTTTAGATCTCGTTCGGTGTGTTTTTGCTAGTGTTTAGGAAGTGTTTTTAAGGACCTTTCAATAGTTTTTTGGATTGGTAGAGCGCAAGGCTCTTAATATTGTGGTCGTAGGATCGAGTCCCACGGTGGATAATTCATAATTTTGACTGTCGGAGGTCTTCCACGGAAGCTGCTCTCAACCGGACGTTTGGGCAGCCTACTACCTTACCTCCCCCTCACCCCATTACATATGAGAATAGGGTCAGCTAAAAAAATTTCCTTGCATGTTGGTGCTTTGCAAGATTTTTTTGGGCATACAAAGTTGATTTTAAAAAAATTTAAGCCAGAGATTGTGCACTTAATTAGATACGTATATACCAAATCAGAGTATCAACGTTAGGGATGGGCACGAGACTTGAATTTGGCGGGGTCTGATCTGACCTAAATTGATTGGGTCAGATTTTTTTTAAAAGGATTTGGATTGGGTCAATTTTTTAGAGGATAAGTTTAGGTTGGGTTCATGTTCGGGTTTAGGGTGTAAAATACATGATTCGATCCGACCAAAAAATAATATAACTATATATTATATATTTAGGAATAATTATAATAATACCCTCTTTATATTATTTTGAATTAGATCCTCATTTTATTGAAAACAATTAATAATTTTTATAAGTATACATATTTCGGATCGGGAAAGATCGAGTTTGGTTTTATATCAAAAACTCAGGTCAAGATTCAGGTCTGATGAAGTCACCCAAAACTCAAATCTAATCGGATTCAGGTAGAGGAGGTCTATTTTCAGGTTGAGTTGACCGAACACCCGACCCGACCCATGTCCATCCCTGATCAACACTAATATTCATGTCAATGATGAATTTCAGGAAATCAATTTTGGGTTAAACTAAAATATTCAAAACTTTCAAAGGTCTAATTATTTTTTAAAAATATTTAAGGGACTAAAAGCAAAATTCCCAAAATCTCAAGAACAAGTGCCCTCCAAGGCTCAAGCCCTAAAGATCACTTGGCCCTTATTGATACAAGGATTACTGTGTTATTATTCTCTCCCAGTAATACGATGGGCCATGTATGAAACCGCCGAAAAATCCCAAGTTCCAAAGAGCTGAAATTTGAATTTTTTTTGGGGTAAGCAGAGCCCACCACAATACAGAAATGTAAAAGCCCCGATAGGCAAAGCCGCAAAGGGTCCGAGAGATTAGAGAAAGACGAAGTCCAAAGACTCTGGAAGTGGAACCCTAAACAATCTCTCATCTTCCATCCACTCAAATTCATCTCTCAAAAAGGAAATCTAGAACTAGATTTGGTTGAGGGGACGCCGTGTTTATCCATGTTAATTAAAATAAAATACTCATTCCATTATTATTAACTTAATTATAAATCGATTATTTTGGGTAAACTATACGTTTAATACCTCAACTACCACTTTCGTTTTGCTTTAGTCATCTAATTATTCCTGTTTAAAATCATACTTAAAGTTATATTTTTGTCACTTACCGTTAAAAAAATAACAAAACTACATATGTGATACTTTTTTATTTCTTAATGATGACATGACATATCTTATGTTGATATGTCAACATCATCGTTACTTTTTTTAATGGAAAGAAGAAATAACCTACTTACTACAGTATCCGTCTCAGCGTGGAAGGTTGACAGTTGGAGGATCATTGAAAGTGTGAAGTCCAAACGGGAGGTTCCAAGCTAACTTTGTCATAGCGTCCGCTGTCCGATTCCCTTATCGATTCACATGAATAAAAACTAGTTGTCAATCACGACATATAATATCCACTATCAGTGGAGGTCGTACGCTGATGAAATTTTATAGAATTCGAATTTTCTTATTTATATCTAAAAGTTTTCTTCATTTATGCATGTGTGTCCACCTTGATGTTTTATATTGTCCACCCTGAAATTTGATCGTATTAAAAATTTTATATTATTAATATATGTGTGCCCTAAAAAAATTTATAGATTCCCCACTATCCACTATATATGGGATCAAATGGGAAACCGACTCCATGTTCACATCATCATTGATTTTTATTGGTGGATAACCAAAATAAAATCAAAATTAAACGTTGTATATGATTTTAGGGGGGGGAATGGGTGACAAACAAAACAAAAATGATAATTGAAGTACTAAATATATAGTTTACCCGTTATTTTCACCCTAAATATTACTTTCTATCCCACTAAATTAGTCCTTTTAAACTTTAAAATTGTCCAATATAAATTATATTATCAGAAAAGTCTATTATCTTTTTTACTTTTATATGTCACATTTTTATACCTATTAAAATAAATCAATTAAATTTATCAATCAATTTTTAAAGATTATTTTGTAATTTTCCATATTTTATATAACTTGATATATGATCATATTTTGAAATGACAATCCAGCTCAGTTGGTAGAGCACAAGGCTTTTAACCTTGAGGTCGTGGGATCGAGTCCCACGGAGGGCATTTCATAATTTGGAGGTCTCTCATGAAAGCTGCTCTCAACTTGGTGTTGCGGGTAGCCTACTATCTTACCTCCTCTTACCCCATTACATATGGGAATAAGGGTCAGCTAATTTTTTTTTGATATATGATCATATTTATCTCTTATAACCATGTGTTTGATCAATATGAGAAAAAAATAATAAAACAGAAGAATATTATATTAGTATATAATATTGTTTTATCTAATATTTAATAAATAACGATTTATTTATAATAATGTTTTAAAAACTAATTGAAGGACATGAATTGTATTTTTACCATTTCAATTAAGGGCCCATCCACCACTAGCTAAATCAAATGGCTCCTACGGAAAACCCTTTGCCCCTTCCGAGTTCCCACCACAACTTTAATATTCTCCTCAAATTTATACGATTCCATTGATTTTTTTTAATGTTTTCACGTTACCAATGAAAAAAAAAGGCAATCCAAATGTCATTCATCATTTTGGAATCAAATATACACGAACACTATTCTTCAAACCCTAAAACACCAGACGTAGTGGTGGTGATGGTGATGACGACGAAGACGATCTTTATCGATCATGCCTTGAACGTTGCGAAACTCCTCCACGTGGCAAGGGATGGTGATGGGACCTTTCTGGTGGAATCCATACTCTTCCTCGGCCACCTTGAGCAGCTGCATGAAGAGCGGGTGGTTGATGTAAATCACCGGGATCACGAACCGCTGCTGCTCCTCCCCTGGACCCACCATGATCGCCACACACCCTTTCGGGATATCTTTCACCTCCTTCTTCTCATGTCGACGATGATGATGATGAAGGTGAAAATTCACATGGTGTTTATCTCCGATCCCCATACCTATCTTCAACAATCAACGAAAGAAAAAAGAACCCCTTTTCTCTACGGTTATTGCCAAAAAGAGACCAGATCAAAGTAAAAACGTTATAAGAAAACGAGGGAGAAAGGCCAGGGATCAGATGCAGAAATGGCGAGCTTGAAAAGAGTCAAAGAAGAGTCGGTTAAAGATCTGGGAACGTTGCTCATGATAATTCGAGAATCAGCAATACAACCCACATATGAACAAGGAAGAAAGGATGGAGGAGGACTGGGTTTAGGTATTTATACCCACAGAGAGAGATGAATGGAGAAAGAAGGTTTCTTGGGGGTGGTTTGCTTAGCTTATACACAAAGCGTTTTGGATGGGAGATTTCTAGATGATGATTGCCTTTGGAAGCGGATCGGCCGAAACGGCCGTTTGTATTGGCCTGGTTAAGAAATTTTATAGGCTAATTCCAGCAAAGAACTTTTGCTATACTTGACAACTATTGTTGGCAATATCTTACATATTTGGAAGTCAACCTCCCTCCCCCCTATAATGTCATTATCTTTAAAGGTATTTTTTTAAATTAAATTACGAAGTAAAATATATCTTAAATCATTTGATCATTAATTTAGGGGTAAACTACCCCTTTAGTATCTAAACTATCAATTTTAGTCCGGTTTAGTACCTAAACTTTTAATTTTTTCAAAATCATGACTATCATTTACTTTTCATTTCATTTTAGTACCACTCCGTTAAAAAATTAATGTGTTTAGTCCCTAAACTATCAGTTTTAGTCCGTTTTAGTACCTAAACTTTAAAAAACTAAAAAATTAACGTTAAAATTTGAATGGAATACTAAAATAAAACAATCGGTTCGTACTAAAATGAAATAAAAATTAAACTGCAGGTGTAGTTTTGAAAAATAAAATAAAATTTAGGTACTAAAATATACCAAAATTGATAGTTTAAGTACTAAATGCACAATTTACCCTTAATTTAGTTTTAAATATTAGTAAGAATAACGATGTCTAATATAATATTATTTTTAAACTTTAAAACTCATACAACTTATCATTTTAGCTCCACTCAAAACAATTCAATAAGTTTAACTCTTCATATTTAAAATTTTATTAATTTAGTATTTGCTTTTTTTTAAATGTTTGTTCTTATTCCAAAAATATTATATTATTTTCATGTTACTTTCTTGATACAATAATAGTTTAAGAGTTACTTGTTATTGCTTTTTAGTAAAAATATAATTATTCAACTATTGTTTTAATTTGATAGTATTGCAGATAAAGATAAAATTGATGAGTTTTTAAATCCGAGTCTCAACCATCAAAATCACAAGACACACTCATAATCCATGACTCGACCAATCAAAACCTGAGCCACCATCATCAATCATGTTCCATTACCATCTATAACCACCAATAGCAATAAACAATACACAACATACAAAACAAATCAAATAAAGAAAAAGAGAGAATAAAAATTAGCCATCTCAACCCTAACGAGTTTTCAATGAGTGATGCGATCGTCAGTCAAGTTCAACGGTAGAAAGCTTTTGTTTAATCAAAAGATTAACATAATTCGTTCTCAAAACGATTAGACGACTGACGACGGAGAATTCAAAAGCTTTAACTTTTAATTTCGATCAATACGTGAAGAGATTGAAATTTTGAACCGACTAAAAGAAAGAGAAGAGAAAGGGGAGGAGTTAAATAATCTTTTCAATCAAAGAAACCATAAAACGATGACAAAAATAACGATGATTGTCAATTGAGAAGAAAAAATAGTTTTTTTTTAGAAGAATGCAACTTTAATGTGTCACGTCATTTTTTCTTAACCAAAATTGGAAAAGAAAGTGAGTCTAACAAAAATGAATTAAAATCTCAATGACTATATTATGAGTTTTAATGTTTTAGTGACACAAATGCAAGCACTCGAAAAGTTTAGGACCATTTATATAATTTACCCTAATACCCAATTCGTTTATTTCTCAAAATCTTTCTTTTCGAGATCGTTCCGTTAATTTTGTTAAATAATTTAAAATATTTTTTTAAAAAATAATTCAAGATAATTAATTAGTAGTAAATGACGGGTGGAAGCTGAAAGTGTTTTCTTTTTCCATTTACTATATTTGGTTGGGCTATCTTTTTATCTCAATTTATTTTCCAACTTTACTTTTTGGTCCTCCAAGTTTCCAGGTAAGAATATGCTGCCCCCATCACAATTGCTTTATTTCCATCAAAATAAAGCTGCTTCGTAGATCATAATTCACCCTCACAAAACACATTTCTATAAATTTCAATTCAATCCCCCAACTTTTTTCTTCTTCTGATGGATGATTTCCCACTTCCTTTTTTGATACCTAAACTTTAAAAAAAATTCAAAATTTAACGTTAAATTTTGAACGGGATACTAAAATAAAACAATATGCTTGTACTAAAATGAAACAAAAATAGGGGCAAGGCTTGTTATAAATAGGGGCTCATTTTGGAAGGTTTCCCAAACCGATTTCTAAGCAAAATGCATTTTTTTAATATTGTCGAATTCCCGGTAGAAGTCTTAACAAAAATTCTACTTGTTGTTTCTTCATCCTCGATTTCGTTAACGCGTAGTTGAGTTGCAAGAGTTTTCTTGAAGCTGCCGATCAAGATTACTTTTTCTAAAATGTTTCCATGAAAAAAATTACTATCATGCCGTGGCATCAACACGAGAAGGTGGCTCACCAAAGATGTCTTCATGCTAACAATCCTGAAGCTTTATACAAAGAGGGCATGTTTAATTTTTTTAGTGTAATAAATTCAGACTTCGACCTACATTGTTTGAAGCAAGCAACCGATAGAGCTCACATTCTTTTCCATATATGTGTATGGCCTTATTCTAGTTTGTTCTAGAGGAGAATCGAGAGATGAAAGACTTCGAATCGTTGGGTAGGATGTGATTTAGTCCTACGTGTGTACAAAAAGGGTTATTTTTCTAACAAATCTACTAACGGGTTATTATTTAAAAAATAATCAACGGGGGTTTTAATTTAATACTCGAGAAACGATTGCTTTCATCCTATTCTCATCATTTAAAACCTCATTTACATTAAATTTGATTATTTTATCATTTCGGGTCTACGTTTAATCTCTTTCGGTATCAATGAGCGAGTTATAAATAGGGTCATTTTGGAAGGTTTCCCAAACCGATTTCTAAGCAAAATGCATTTTTTTATATTGTCGAATTCCCGGTAGAAGTCTTAACAAAAATTCTACTTGTTGTTTCTAACTTCATCCTCGATTTCGTTAACGCGTAGTTGAGTTGCAAGAGTTTTCTTGAAGTTGCCGATCAAGATTACTTTTTCTTGAAGATGCAAGAGATTACGTTTAATCTCTTTGTATAATCATGTACCTTTAAACTCCTCCTAGAGATTCTGTGCTCTCAAAAACACCGATGATGGAAGAATATATTTCCCTACCAAATAATAAAAACTCGTCCCTCTTATTATTTAATTCTAACTTTAATTTTTCTTTAATATTTAATAAATCTTTGTTCTTTGTAATTATTATAAATTTCGAAATATAATAATTGAAGTTGAAATCATTAAAATGAACTTTCGATAATAGTTTATAGTCTATTACAAATATCTACAGTCCTCTAGATTCTTTTTCCCCCCTTGTGTACATAAAATAAATATTTAAATACTTTAAGTGATGATCATTGAACACTTGACAGTTTGGCCGAGTGGTCTAAGGCGCCAGATTTAGGCTCTGGTCCGAAAGGGCGTGGGTTCAAATCCCACAGCTGTCATTTTGGTCCTTTAGTATCGCGTATAATCCCACAGGATCTGAGCCATATTAAAATTTTAGTTAAATTCATCAATGTGGTTTTGGATTTAATAAACATATTTATAAGGGTGTTCAAAATTTCGGTTAATTGATTAAATTGGTCGAATTTAATTTTTTAGTTAATTAGTCGATTAATTTTAAGTTCGTTCTTGGTTAGTTCGGTTTGAAATTGTTTAATTAATCGAATTAACCAAAAATTTTAATATATTATTTATATATTAATAACTTTAAGAGTGTTTAAATTTCGGTTTTAACAGAATTAATCGTCTAAACTTACCGATCAAATTAATCGAATTAACCAAAAATATTAATATTTAATATATAATATATATTATTTAAAATTTTGGTTAATTCAATTAACCGACTGATTAACCAAATTTTATTCGGTTCGATTAATTATTTTTGAAAAAAAATTCAATTCGGTTAACGATTCATTTTTTTTGATTAATAAAATTTTAAAAGTTTGGTTCGGTCGGTTAAACAAACCGATCGATTGAACACCCATACATATTTGGTGTGACAAATAATATATATATATATATATGGATTATTATAATCTAATTAAATAAAATTTTGTACCCCTTATAACTATAGAACGACTTGGATTTTATCAATCCTAAATTAAATCACTTAAATTTAATAATATAACAAATACAAATTTCTTTTTTTAGTTTAATCATTGATATTTGATCTATTGATCGATTAATTCGGATCGAGTACTACAAAGATAAGAGTGATCTTCCAAAATCGATTAATTCGGATCGAATACTACAAATACAAAGATTGATCGATTAAATCATTATTTTTTACCCTTATAAAACGAGATTTTATCAACCCCAAATTAAATCATTTAAATTTAATAATATAACAAATTAAATTATTTTTAATTTAACCATGAGATAAATACTGAGCAGATAATTTACCCCTTTCTAACATCGTTAGTACCGCCACCACACCGGTCACCATTTCACCAAATAGAGGGTTTCCCCCCCCCCCCCCAAAAAACCCTTCGACACGACACAAACCAAACCCACTAACCAGTCAGGTTTTGTCGAAGGTCAATTTATAAGTTCAAAGTGCGCATTACGGATGGCATATTCACGCCTTTATTTCACCGCTCCATTTCGCACACTCCCACCGCCGCCGTCACTGCCAAAATCACCTCGTTTTCCTTTGCTCGTTCCACGAACATCGCACTCCCTGACCCACAAGACGCTCGCTTTCTCGACCGGGATTAGAGGCGCTTCGGGTTCCAGAAGATCTTGTTGGAGAGCCATGGCGGAGAAAGGGAAGGGAAAGGTTGAGGTTTTTGATTCCGAGGAGGATCTCTCAGTGTCGCTTGGTAAATACACCGCCGATCTGGCTGATAAGTTCTCCAAAGAGAAAGGCAGTTTTACTGTGGTTTTGTCGGGTGGCTCTCTCATCAAGTCTCTCAGGTCTTAAGCTGCCCTCTATTTTCTTACTTTTACCATTTCATTTATTTTTCTCAAATGGATGATTGAACTTTCAGGAAACTGGTGGAACCTCCGTATATTGATGCGGTGGATTGGTCAACATGGCATGTTTTCTGGGTGGATGAAAGGGTTGTTCCTAAGGATCATGATGACAGTAACTATAAGCTAGCTTTTGATGGGTTTCTTTCAAAGGTATGATCAAAGAATTTGATGCTTTTAGTTTATTATTATTATTAAGTGGTAAAAGAGATTTGAACAGTTGGTATTGTATGGTGTATGTCCGTCGTCGATTAGGGGATGAGTAGGGAGATGTTCGAGTTTGCTATAGTTGCTGTGCCTGTTCTAGGATGTTGTTAGTATTCCAATTTTTCCAAGGCAAAACAAGTTAAACATGTTATTCTCTCCTCTGCAGGTACCAGTTCTCCCGGGTAAAGTCTATGCCATCAATGATGCACTGCCTGCTGAAGGTGCAGCTGATGACTACGAGACTTGTCTCAAGCACTTGGTTAAGAGCGACGTGATTAGCGTCTCGGCGGCTACTGGGTTTCCGAAGTTCGATCTCATACTTCTGGGAATGGGACCAGATGGTCATGTGGCTTCTCTTTTTCCAGGCCACCCTCTGGTCAAGGAGAACGAAAAGTGGGTTACCTTCATTAAAGACTCACCAAAACCACCCCCAGAGAGAATCACCTTCACTTTCCCGGTTATCAAGTCGTCCGCTAACATTGCATTCGTGGTGTGCGGTGCTGGTAAAGCTGGTCCAGTGCATGCCGCATTAGGAAATGGTCAAAATTCCGATCCCTTGCCTGTTCAGATGGTTTCACCAGAAGGAGAGTTGGTTTGGTTTTTGGACAAGGATGCAGCTTCCAAGCTGTAAGTTGTATGTTATAGTTTATGTGAGTTTCTTTTAAGTTCGACCTCCATGGTCTGAGCAGTGCTTGTGCTATTGGGGTTATCAACTGCCAAAACATGTTACGTTAATAAAATGTATTTCCCAGTTATATCAACTGCAGTTGAATCTTAATGCGATAATTATTGATCCTGTGATCCCTTCGTGTAGGGTGTGTGATCTTTCATGTAGGTGAGTGTTCGATTTCGAAGAATTTTAGCACCTAGAGTGAGAGCCTTGCACATAAGAGGAAGAAGACACAAAACTATAAGAATAATGCTCCTGCTTTTAAATTCCAACAATACTAAACATGGTCTGGTCTCGCTGTTGACATAAATGGGGGGCTCAAAGAAGCTCACTATAGTATTGTCTTTTGACAATGGACCACATTTTGACACAGAGATGCTACAAGGAAGGAAAACCAAACAAGAGATGTGTCTGTCCTTTTAAAACTAACAGATGAAACACATCACTTCTCCCCTCAAAACAGCCAGCCAACTCCTGTGTAGTAATAAGCTATTCTTTCTTAGTGTAGTGACTTACCGCAATAGCCAAGCCCAGAATCAAGAGGGGGACGAGAAGTTGTAGGATCTTAACGACAAACTCTGGGGTCTTATCAGGATTGTAAGCCGGTTGCTGTGGAGGACTGTAGGCGCGCTTTGCCGGGACGGTTTTTGAATCAATCTCGCCTATGTAGTAATTTCCCATCAGTTCTCTTGCGGAATCACAGTGACCAACATCTTCAAAATCATTTGTGGCATCCTCCCCTGAAACATTATGATCAAACTACAAAATTCAGGCTTAATTACTTGAAGAACCGAATACGAAATCCATCATGAGAATTTACCGGTTGCGGACAGCACAATTTCATCACCGCCGGGATGATCTTCCATGAATGGAGTTGCATCATATACCTACATAGAGAGAAATCTCAATTATGAACGGCGGTTGAACTCCAAATACCTTGTTCTTGACATGTTCATCAGGCGAAACATTCGATCGACATAAAGCTCTTTCTACAACTGAGAGAACATCATACATGATATCTAATGATTGTTTGATAAACGGTAGCAATGAATCACAGATGATGAAACTACTTGAGTTTTTCATTTGAATATTTATGTGATCAATCCTTCAGCATAAGACATCCAATCTGTCTGACATGCACAACCACATGAATGCCATCGAAGGTTTCAGGAAACAAACACATTAAACTAAAATATTCAGCGGTGCTGAGATGCGGCCGCACTCTTAAAATTTTCAAAATTCTATATAATTTATGTATTTTCTATTAACAATCGAATTTTGTATACTCAGCGAATGTATGGAAAAGTTAAGAGATCATTCATTCGAACAAACGCACCCAATGAGATTTTACAATTGAAGGTGAAATAAGCTCACGATTCATCAATAATCAACCCAAAATAACAGTTCAAACATGAAAAAGGAAGTGAACAATCCGGCAGAGGAAGACCAGAAACACTGATGAAATAATAGGATGCGAAGGATCTGACCTTCCCAGAAATAATCAGCCAACAATCTTTGGTTTTGTAGTGGACTGCAACCTCCTCGAAAGTGTGCACCTTTGGATCCGAAGCCATTCTGCAACACTGCCAAGCGAATAAAACACCAAAATTCCCAAACCGCACGCCCGATTAGATCTGAAGCAGCCAAAAAAAGCTACCAAAATAAATACAAAAGAAATGCTCTCTAAAGCTAAAAAGAGTCCAAAAGTCTTCAAATATGATTTTTTTAACCCAACATATCATCATTAAAATAATTATTTTTTAAATTGGTATTTATTTTTAGTTTTTGTTTCATTTTAGTAAGTTTGTTCAAAATTTAACGTTAAATTTTGAAAAAATTAAAAGTTTAGGTACTAAAACGGACCAAAAATGATAGTTTAGGTACCAAACGACTTAAGTTTTTAACGGTGGGATATTATATTAAAATAAAAACTAAACTTTAGGTATGATTTTGAAAAATGGAAAGTTTAGGTACTAAAACGGATTAAAACTGATAGTTTAGGTACTAAATGAAAAATTTACCCTAAAATCAAAATAAATTAAATTAAATATAATTTATTTAATCGATTAATCCGATTTAATAATCCATTCACTGACACCTACAACATGATGCTTGCGCCATCTGAACCACCGACACCTCCTCTTCAGATCGAAAACCCAGGTCTCTCCACGTGTCAAATTTACAATATAAAATTCCAAATAAGTTGAGCCAAACACATCCTTTGTTTTGTCCCACACCCTCTCCATTGCTTGTAACTCTTCAAAGTTTCCTTCAAACCGTAAGATCTTTCTACCTCAAGTGTGCAGAGGACACATCGGCTTTTGGTTTCACAACGTCTTATAAAATCTCTGCGTCCTCTTCTACAAGTAAGAGGGATAGTCTGGGTGGTGGTGTGTTAGTTGGCTTGGCTGAAACAATGGAGTTCTTCTATTTCGTGGTGTTCGGTGCATTGGGAGCGGTGGTGGCAGCGCTAGAGCTGAGCAAGAACAACAAAGATCGAATCAACACTTCCCCTGCCTTCAATTCCTTCAAGAACAATTACCTTCTTGTTTACTCTCTCATGATGGGTAACTAACTACCACTCATTGTTTTCTTCCCTCTTTCTATTTACCAGATCTGTTTTTTTTTTCATTTTATATGTTTTAGATCTCACTTTTATTAGACTCTAAAATGTCTCTGATCTAATGCTGGTTTTTGTGTGTTGCGTGCGTGTGATTCCAGAACCTATTCCTTAGATTTGCATTTTTCGAGTGTGATCTGAATGATTTTTTTTGTGATTCGGTTTTACTTTTAGTGGATAATGTGTTTTGCTATACTAATCGTTACTTTTAAATGTCCTTACCCTTTTTTTCTGTGCTTTGGAAATGTTGAATGGGTTTATCTAGATAAAGAAAACGGAAAACGGGATACATGCGTGTTTTGTTAGCTTCTATAAGAAAAGAAAAGAGTAAAGAAAATGACTCCAATAAGTGTAATGTGGATTTTCGGTCCTTTTCTGTTTTGTGGTTGAGAAACTGAATTTTTTGGGTGGGGGAGTTGGAGATATGTTTGCTTTTGTTTTTGGTTGATGATGGTTCCGATAAAGAGACAGCCAAAATTTTGAGCATCAAACTATCATTGTTCTTAGATCTTAGAGAGGAAGTCATAAACTTCTGATTCTTGTGAGTTCTGTACCGTTGCATTAACTTCTTTAATAAGTTTCAGGAAAATAGTTGTAGGGATGATACTCTGGATTAAATAGTCTGAGATGCCGTTAATCATGAATTTGAATTCTATCGAAGTTTGTGGTTATTCTAGCTTTTGATAAGAGTCTTTCACGATGACGAATTTGTAACAATCTTATTCAAATATGCATCATAAACATATTACCACTTATGTTTGAATGATCTTTCTTTTGAAAGAAAATTTCCTAATTCATATGGTAGTTGTGAAAGATAGCTTTTTTATATTATGGTTATTGGACTCATAAATGGTTGTTTATGTTTCTATAGCTGGAGACTGGCTTCAGGGTCCATATGTTTACTATCTTTATAGTACATATGGCTTTGGAAAAGGGGAGATTGGACAGCTTTTTATTGCTGGTTTTGGGTCATCCATGTTGTTTGGTACAATTGTTGGATCTCTAGCTGACAAACAGTAAGCTTTTCATCTGGTTTCTGTTGCTATCTTTTCATACTTAATTGATGAAAGGTCTTGTCTTAAATGTTAAAATACCTTGCGTTTTATTCAGGGGCCGAAGGAGGGCATGTGTTACTTACTGCATAACTTACATACTTAGCTGCATCACCAAGCATTCTCCTCAATACAAAATTTTGATGATAGGTCGTGTTTTGGGAGGTATTGCCACCTCCCTACTGTTTTCAGCATTTGAGTCATGGCTTGTAGCTGAACATAATAAGGTGAGCAATTGCTTTCGTGCCCTTTACTCTTAGTGTATATCAGTGAAGCTTACAAGTTAACATCATATATGTGTTTTTTGCTTATGTGCCCTTTACTCTTTAATATTCTGGATGCTATGTGTTAGTCTCTGTCGGGTTGTTTTCCTCCATGCCCTATTTTGGGGGAAAATAACAATGTTTGTGATATCTAGTTTACATCGCATACTGCACAAGGTACCTAGGAATATTCTAATTTCGTTTCTTGAATTTTCCATCATTGTTTTCAAAGATGTCGAGGACTGAATCATCTGTTTCTGATTAGCTTCATTTGTCAGCGAGCCGTGTCTGCATCATTGATGTCAATATCCCTTTAACTTTAATCATGTTCTGATAGTACTATTTTGCACTTTTAATCTTTGCAGAGAGGCTTCGAGCAACAATGGTTGTCACTAACATTTTCTAAGGCAATATTTCTTGGAAATGGTCTTGTTGCCATTTTGTCTGGGTTGTTTGGGAACCTACTTGTTGATTCATTATCCCTTGGACCTGTGGCTCCTTTTGATGCTGCTGCGTGTTTTCTTGCTATTGGAATGGCCATTATTTTATCATCATGGACTGAGAATTTTGGAGATCCCTCGGAAAATAAGGACCTGCTTACCCAATTTAAGGGTGCTGCTGTAGCAATAGCTTCTGGTAGAGTTCAACACTTAATTTAGACTCATGCATTCATCTGATTGACATGTTACAGGCCAAGTATTGTCTCTTGATACCTTGTTGTCAGTCATCCATCATCATGCATTAATTCTTTCCTTTGTTTTCCCTTTGTACTCTTAGTCTAATTTTTTCTGCATTTCAGATGAAAAAATTGCCTTGCTGGGTGCCATCCAGTCTCTGTTTGAAGGTTCAATGTACACCTTTGTGTTCCTTTGGACTCCTGCTTTGAGCCCCAATGATGAGGATATCCCTCATGGTTTTATTTTTGCCACATTCATGTTGGCTTCTATGTTGGGAAGTTCCCTTGCATCTCGATTGATGGCTCGCTCGTCACCCAGGGTAGAAAGCTACATGCAGATTGTTTTTGTAGTTTCCTCTGCCTCTCTCTTGCTTCCCATTATAACTAATGTATGTTCGGACATCCTCTCCCTCTCTCTTCCCTCCCCCCCCCCCCCCAAAAGATTATTCTATTGAATTATTTCTAACTGGATTAATATGTAACAGTTTTTGGTGGCACCTCCGGAAGTGAAAGGCGGAAGCATCTCGTTTGCAGGTTGTCTACAGCTTCTTGGATTCTGTACTTTTGAGGCATGTGTTGGGATATTCTGGCCATCCATTATGAAAATGAGATCTCAGTACATCCCGGAGGAGGCTAGGAGCACCATTATGAACTTTTTCCGCGTTCCTCTCAACATCTTTGTCTGCGTCGTGTTGTACAATGTATGCTATACACCTCTTCTGACCAAAAAACACAAAAATGCTTTGCTATAATAAGCTTCACCTGATCATGTGCCATAGATGGATACATGCATGCTCTCGGATCCACCAGGCTTCAACTCTGTTACTAACTAGCTGTATTGATTTTTGTTGTGTAGGTTAATGCATTTCCCATCACTGTTATGTTTGGTATGTGCTCGATCTTCCTCCTCGTGGCATCTATCTTGCAAAGACGGCTGATGGCGATTTCAGACAAGCCGAGTAAGTACACGACACCATATCACACCAAACATCCTCCATCTTCCGATTTTTCTGTTCTGAACTTGTTGGTGGTTTCTCTTTCAGAGATTGAAAATTGGACAGCAATGAAGGAAAGGGACACAGAATCAGAGCCACTAAATGATTGAGACCGATGTTCTGTGGGGTTCTTGGCAGGTTGAAAGCAACTTCATAACTCATTCCCTATGCAGTCGCAGTTGATTGGAGAATTTGTACCTTTTGGTTTTATGGTAATGAGGTTACAAATTTTGCAAGGAACCAGTAGTCTCTGCCCAATAAAGTAGATGTGGGTTTTTTTTTTAGTATTCATGATTTGTTTTGGGCATTAAAAATAGTGTAGTAAATATCAAGTCTTTCCGGTTCTGATAGTATTATTATTATTATTATTTCTGTACTGCTCAAGTGGATTTAGATTGCCAAACAAATCATTCTTTATATGTTCTTCAAAATTGACGCTTCATTGTCTTCCACAAACACATTTGATTTTAGGATCAATATCAGGTCTAATAAGCAATAATTATAATGTATGTGCAAATATTAAAGGTTTAGGGTACACTATCTGTGTTCCTTTGTGTTAATATTCTTTTCAATTGCGTTAATATAGTAGTCATATAATAATGTTGTGTTTCACCTATGAATAATGACGTGATAATTGATTTTTTTCAGAATTTAAAAAAGTTTATAAATCAGTTGTTAAAATTTGAACTGAGTTTATAGTACAATAATTTTTTTTAAAACAAAACTTCGATTGAAATTAGATTTTAAGTTGTTGTGTTATCCTTTTAATTTAGTTGTATTTTCATGATGATGATAATAAATAGAGAAAAATACCGATTACTTCAATTTCAAACTCTCACCTAAAGTTTTAGAGTTAATTGCATCATATGTCCCCACTCTATGACCCTCATTTTAAATTGGTCCCCAAAATTTTAAACAGTTCAATTTCATCCCTAAACTATGTTCTAAATTAGTCTTCAAACTTTTAACATTCCATTTTCATCCCCAAACTATGCTCTTCATTCTATATTGGTGCCCAAACTTTTTGAATAATTCAATTTAATCTTAAATT